AGCATTAAAAATGTTAAAATATGTGTACATGATCAGTGTCTAATATCACATATCATCTTCATCAAATGGGGTTTCGTGCATAGAATAGTCCATGCTTAAAGCATATGTGGTTTCTAGCTTTATGGAAACATTTAAAAAAAATCAAACTACTCCGGTCCTGCATTTCAGTGTTAACTTTTACAAGCCATTCGGCGTGAAGTGGTTTTATCTTAGACAACTTTAGGATGAACTTAACCTTAACATCACGTGGAGCTTTCCTAGCACTGTTTCATTACATCCCCTGAGTAATATGAACTACCTTATCGGACCTTATTTGGACGGACATCAAATGAACGGACATAATTATGAACGGACATTAGTATGAACGCTAGAAGGCATTCAAAACTATCAAAATTCCGAATAATTTTCATTTTTTTGACGTGTTTTTATTTCAGCAAATGATTTTTAAATCCATTTTTATACAGTAAGTAAGAAAAGCAGTCGTTAAGCAGTAAAAATGTAAAAAAATATGTGTACATGATGATCAGTGTCTAATATCACATATCATCTTCATCAAATGGGTTTTCGTGCATGAAATAGTCCTGGATGCTTAAGGGGGGGGGGGGTTGGGGTTCACCCTGATTTTTTTGTGAAACTTGGTTTCGAGATAGTAGTTGACCAACAAACTAGGACCAGTGACCGAACTTTTGAGGGGGTCCCGGACGGGTGGGCGACAATTGACCCCCCGACAATTGACCCCCCGACAATTGACCCCCCGAAAATATAATTGAATACAATTAACCCTGACCCTGACCCTGACCCTGACCCTGACCCTGACCCTGACCCTGACCCTGACCCTGACCCTGACCCTGACCCTGACCCTGACCCTGACCCTGACCCTGACCCTGACCCTGACCCTGACCCTGACCCTGACCCTGACCCTGACCCTGACCCTGACCCCGACCCTGACCCTGACCCTGACCCTGACCCTGACCCAGGACCCTGACCCAGGAACAGCTGTCCCTGACCCTAACCCCAACCCTAACCCCAACCCCAACCTTAACCCTAACCCTAACCCCAACCCCAACCTTAACCCTAACCCTAACCCTAACCCTAACCCTAACCCTAACCCTAACCCTAACCCTAACCCATAACCCTAACCCTAACCCTAACCCTAACTTAACCCTAACCCTAACCCTAACCCTAACCCTAACCCTGAGTCCTGACCCTAACCCGATTAATTTACCCCAGTTTAATTAATTACAATTGTTGGGGGGTCAATTGTCGGGGGGTCAATTGTCGTACTAAACCCTAGATTTCGCGACAATTGACCCCAGTGTAATTACATAGGGGTCAATTGTCGGGGGGTCAGTTGTCGGGGGGTCAATTGTCGGGGGGTCAATTGTCGGGGGGTCAATTGTCGCGGTACCGTCCCGGACCCCAACCGCCAAACGGTGCCCGCGGGGCAGCCACGCCCATATTTGGTCCAAATCAGGCCCAATTTAGCCAAATACCCTGAACATGCCCAAAATCCAGATTTTAGGTGCTCTACTTGTAGCTAGAGGTCCCCTGAACTCGTATATGAATTTTCATCAAGATTGAACAAAAAATGATTGAGTAATGAGCCAAAAACCATATGACCATATTTGGGCATACGCACCAAATTTGATCGATTTTGGCCCATAAATTGGTCAAATATCAATATTTTTGAATGAAACCAACTTTATATTGAAGGTAAGCCTATACTACACATCCTCTATGATTATCAGCGCAGTATCTACCTAACTGGGGATTCTGTGTTCAAATAATCGCAAAAAATGAACAAAATCGCCCATATCTCAGTTCGCAATATTTGCAAAACTGATTTCGCTCAAAACAATAAAACTCAATAGGGTTTCAATATTTTAACATGAAATTTTCAGAATCATCGTAGAATCGCATTTCGACCTTAAGTTTTGGGACAGAATTTTTAGTTAGGCCTTTAAAAAAATTTGGCGGCCAAATTCTGAATTTCGCATTGCAAAATTTGGAATTTGGCCGCCAAATTTTTTTAAAGGCCTAACTCAAAATTCTTCAAGATATCGCTTCAAAAATTTTGGTGAGTGTAGCTGATGATCATATCCAACTTTTTGGAACAGGATTTCTCTCAATTCTGAGTTTTAAGGTATGAAATGTGGCCTCAAACGACTTAGTAAAATTCATCGTAAAAAGGGCCAAAAATGGCAGAATTAAGGCTTAAAATGCTTATTACTCAAAAAGTATCTGTTTTTTTGAAATAATTTTTACAGAATCGTAATCAGCTTGATCAGACGAATCTTTGGATATGATCATCAGCTACACTCACCAAAATCTTTGAAGCGATATCTGATGACCTGGGCGAGTGGTAAAATGTACAACGTTGGTGGTAGGCAAAAATCCCAACTTTTCTTTTTTCACCTTGTTTGGTCTGTAACTTGGTCATTTATTGTTTAATTATATAATACTTTAAAGGGTTGTCTTGTACGGAGTGTAAGTAATGTTCAGTAAAAAAATCAGCCAAAAACTTTTAAAATGGCTGAACCATCGGTATTACAGTGACAGACTTCTCCAAATTTTAAAAATTTTCGAAAAAGAAAAAATTTTTTTTCTCGATGAGGGAATATTTTTAGAAAATTTTGAAAGTGTGCAATTTTATTCTTTTTGTCTATTTAACCATAATATAAAATAAAATTGTTACTTGGTCATTTATTGTTCAATTATATAATCCTTTAAAGGGTTGTCTTGTACGGAGTGTAAGTAATGTTCAGTAAAAAATCAGCCAAAAAACTTTTAAAATGGCCGAACTATCGGTATTACAGTGATAGACTTCTCCAGATTTTAAAAATATTCGAAAAAGAAAAATATTTTTTTCTCGATGAAGGAATATTTTTAGAAAATTTTGAAGGTGTGCAATTTTATTCTTTTTGTCTATTTAACCATAATATAAAATAAAATCGATGTTCAGAGCAAAACCTTTTTTGGTGTTTCTCCTCAAGCTCTATGGAAACCTTTTTTTAAATCAAACTACCCCGGTCCTGCATTTCAGTGTTAACTTTTACAAGCCATTCGGCGTGAAGTGGATTTTATCTTAGACAACTTTAGGTTAACCTTAACATCACGTGACACGTGGGGCTTTCCTTGCACTACCTCCCCGGAGTAACATGAACTATAACAACGTCGGACAATGTCCTTGGCAACACGATTTACCGTAATATCTAGAGGCTGGAACAAGTTTGTCATGTTGGTGGGGACTAGCTCATGAACTATGTTGTTGAGTGCCATAATTTCGGTGACTTTTCCGCTAAGTGACCCTTGAAAACATCATATACTAGCAGAGTTATATTTTTTTAGAGAATATTTTAATGGTGTACAGTGTAAAGATAGTTCAAAAATGTCTCTACTGCCAAATTGCTTCCAGGCGTTTTGCACGAGCGAAATGTTCAAAAATGTTTGCCTTCGGCAAACATTTACTGTACGGTTAATATTTGCACTGAGTTTACTGTTTTATTAGAAATTTCTTTGAAAGAATCATCAGCAGTTGGAATTATAGTACGTTTTTTTTCATCAAGTAGATCAGAGCAGTTGGAATTTGTGTTACGTACCTGGAAAGTTGACAGTTAGAATACCACTCTGTAGGACTAGGACTGTATATCTGCAGACTGGTAACCTAATGGTACAGGTAATAAACACATACCTTTGCTGTGACTCAAGGCAAATCACATACGATCTTTTGATTGTGGAATTCGATTAAAAGGTCCTTTGAGATCCGTGCACCTCTTAATAAAATAATATTGCTTCTGCGGAACAAGTAGAGAGCAGTTGGAATTTTTGTTACCTGGACAGTGGACAATTAGATTACCACTCTGTAGGACTAGGACTATATATCAGTTTGAGTTAATGGATCACGCGTTGCAAGGAACGTAGCCATTTATAAAACTGGCTACGTTGCAGGGTAAAATAGATTTTGTATAATTAAGCATGCCTCCTGTATTGCGGGCCATATTACATGTTTCAAGTAATGCTTTAAATTCTCTCTGTTTATAAATTTTACCAAAACCCATAATCATGGGTATTGGATAGGGTGGACCGCTGCCAGTGTCTCTCTTTCCCAAACAAAAGGAAACGATATTAATTTGAATAACCGTCCGCAAATGCAAAATGATACCGAGAATGAAATCGGTCGCTCGCTTTTCCCATTTATTCACGACTTACGAATTGTAATAAGTTTCAATTAATTATATCAATCACATGCTGCAAAAAAACTCTTTGGGTTGCCTTCGCGTCGATACCTAGTATTTCGGGATAAGGTTGGTAATTAGTGTCCAATTAGCTGATGTTTATTGAATCTTTATTGCCGAGTACGGCTACCCCTATTACAATTGACACCATTTGGGTGTCCAAATTTCGGGACCTAAAGTTTTTATTCCGTGGCCAAGTTTTTATTTCTTCATACTTATAATAAGGACATAAAAGCATTTGACCCAGTTTCCATTGTATATCTCTTACGGTTTTTGCGAAAAGTCGTGTTAAAGTTGATGCCGTGGTGTCAGTAAAATGGCAACAGATACACTTAGTATATCGTCTCGCTTTACATATACACTTACAGTAAGATAATCAGTAGTAAGATAATCAATTGAATTTTAAAATACAAATTAGATTTTAATCAATACTAATGCAAATCAAAAGATAAACGGAGGTATTAAGTCGTATTCATAGAAAGTTGGAAAATTTTGGTATTTTGGAATTTCGATATTTTGAATTCCAAAATTTTAAAATTGATATTCACTATCTTTTAGCAATTACTAGACAGTCTCTAATTTTGAAATATAAACTGTAAAGGTCACAGAAGGATCCAGTTATAGCTAGGATTTTTATTGTTGTTTATGTTATCTCTGTGACTCATTATACTGTGTTTACAATATACTTGTTAAGCCCTAATCTGGGGAAAGGAGACGGCCGCAGTATATCGGGGTTTATGGTGAATCGGATTTTTATTGTAGTTTTATTTTGTATCATTAATTTAGTTATATTCTCTCAAAACAACTTATTCAAGTAGCTGTAGATCAGTCCTGACAAATGATGACAGAGTTTACAAAAGCTTTGTTTTTTCTTGCGGTCATCAGTCTGTCAGTCAGTCAGTCATCAACTGTAGAACCGCTCGAGGGGGAGTTAAAACTTACAGTAGACGTGTTGGCCAGAAGTGACGAGATGGGGTGTGATGACTGTGAACTGGTGCTGGACAGGCTAATCCATACCAAGATCACGTTGATACCCGGTGACGAATTTGCGGTCGCTGCATACCTCACTATGAACACATTGCACTGTTTTGAAAAATTCAGAATACACCCTACGGGGGATCCTGGACGCTACGAAGAATTCCACTGCACAAATTCTGGTTGTGAATGCCCGGATAAACCCTGTGATGAAACCATAACGATGGTAGTATCTGATTTGCAAGACCATAATCCAGATGAGTACCAAGAGTGCAAGGGGATGCTAGGGACCAATGCGGAGTTCAAAGTTAGAGATGTAGTAGAATATGACATATACGAACTGGCAGTCGCTGGTCATGTTGCAGGTACGTGGGCACACTTTGTTCCATGGTAGGGAGGGTTAAACTGTGGCAAGCTGATTGATTTATCATTGTCATTTGTCACGTTTTTAAATTCAAAGCATATTAGTCCCACCTCCCAATTACATATCATTATTTATCCATCCCTCCACATTTTAAACATTTAATATTTAACCTAGTAAAATTATAATGATTAATAAATCACATGCTCAGAAATTGCGGAGGGTCAAGAAAACGGCGGAGAGGATCAAGAAAACGGCGGAGAGGGTCAGTACTCACTCGCAGTATGTCATTCCATCAATGTTGTCCTCTCGGTGACTAGTCTCCTGATTGCCTTCTTCTTGCAGATGTAGTAGAATATTGGATGTGCGAACTGGTAGTCGTTGGTCATGTTTCAGGTACGTGGGCACACTTTGTACCATGGTAGGGAGGGTAGGGACTACCGGTGGGTGATAAATAATTGAGAATCCAACAGGATCTTGTTCTCTTCATTGTGCTGATTCCGGGAAGCATTCGTTTTACGCTCTAATCCTATTAAAAATCGAGATATCGGTCATTAAAAAATGAGTAATTATAGGCCTGTCAATGATTGCAGCCCAATTAAGAGCTGATCAGTTGCAGCTACTTGTGCCATATAAGGGATAACTGAAGTCACGTGACCGCCAATCCTATCACGTGACCTTTATTCGTAAATCCTTGGTCACGTGATCACATTCGTATCGTGTCGAATGCTGACTAGGATATCTCGTGACGTCACCAGAGCTCAAGCTTCCTGACCAGGCCTTATATGGAATAATATAGTGTATCACGTGTAATTGGATCCAATTAAGAGGAGTTGCGCAATTATCGCAGCATCTTGATCTGGTACCCAGCAGGCAGCTGGGTCAGAGATTTTAAAGATAAAATAGAAGGATTTTTTGTTACGGTAAATTGAAGCGAAAATCATGTAACCCTATGTTTTTGATGACGCTGAACACGATAAAACTGGTTATAATGTTCATACTTCAGGGGAAATTGCTTTAAAATGCAATTGAATGTCATCAATTTATTATGAGCTGAGCAGCTTATCGGTTGGTTATACTGCATACTGCAGCATCTCTGCGAATCCTTATAATTGTAAACAACGAAGCCTGTACTTCTCAGGTTGTGTGCGTGGTTATACTTATGCTGTTATGGGACAGATCTCAGGTTGAAAAGACGAAGGAATTATTTTTCCGAATATTTGATAAAGTTTCAGTTTAACAAATACAGAGTCAGATATCTACAAATAATATAACAACAAAGCCGTTGCTTATTGCAAATTCTTATTTTTCGCGCAATTTACACGTGGGCACTCATTATTTGGCAACATTACAACAAATTAAAATGAGCGTGCAATTGCGTAGTAATCATACAGTTAACCATGGCAACCCTAAATGATGTGTTTAGAGTATTCCACCATTCAATAGTATCCCAAGGGCGTAGCTCTCTGCATTCAGCTCATAGAGCTAGAGCAGAAGGGCATGAACCGGCCAGTACGCCCTAATGGAAAACCGCGGATATTTTGCAAGCCAGAGATTAACAGAAATGCTAAATCTTACCTTGACCTTGTCATTTACAACACTGACATCGAGGATAAAGATCCGGTGAGAAAGACTAAGTCTTTCAAACCGTATCATTTATTTGGTCTCTGTTTTAAAACTGCGTGCAGTAAGTTCATTTGAAATTAAATCTACTGCGTAACAATTATTTTAACCGTCTCTGCTATGAATAGTTCTCGAAAAGGTGACATCGGCCATTGATATTTGATACATTTATTGAGATACGTATCTGGTTTCAAAACTTTGAATTGATCGAGGCAATTAGCTTAAAACTTAATACGGATAGTATTAAACATCAAATCTTATTTTATTTAAAGGATAGCATTTTATATTTCAGGAGAGATCGAGTGGGCTGCCGTGACCATACCATCGATTATAAGGACGCACCCATCAGATCCTGAGCAGTTCGATAAGTACCTTGAGACACCCTTGGTGACTCCATATCCCTGCCATCAGCAGGCTGTTGAAAGAGGATCAATAAAACGGCGGAGAGGGTCAGTACTCACTCGCAGTATGCATCACTCCATCAATGTTGTCCTCTCGGTGACTAGTCTCTTGATTGCATTCTTCTTTAAGGATAATAGCAAATAGGTTGTGCGAAAAATGACATTGCTGTGTAATATATGGTTCACGGAAAAACAATTTTTAGTTTAAGGGGGAATTTTTAGGTATTTCTTGTCAATTTTGTTGTAGTAAAATATATAAAGGTGTGTTTAGTCCGCATTTGGGGCTTACTTAATAATTGGTAAACATGTGCATGGTATTTTGAAGTCGGGCGATGCAGCCCTGAGATTTTTTAGTCGCATATTTGGCGCTTACTTATATTACTAACAATTGGCAAATATGTGCATGACTTTTTGAAAAATTCTTGTTAGCATAGTTTTATATTCTGATAAAAAGCGTATTTTAAAATTGTTTGTAACGGATCCCTATTCCAATTAGCAACCAAACCAAACCTAAACCATACCTAAACCACACCTATACCTATCTCTAGATCAATCGGCCAACTCTCCCAGCTTCAGTATCGCTCTCAACATCACACACCACTCCATTTCACACCTACTTGAACTCTTTAAAACCTTCACACTTCTCATATTCATTTCTGTCTTAGGGTGTTCATTCTTCCGGGCTATACGTTCTAACATTTACGAACCGGTAAAACCACACACTACACAGCTGTACTTTTTCTTTCAACACTATTTACTTTTTCAACACCATTTACTACACAACACTATTTATCTCATAACTGTTTATTATTATTAACCCTTTTAACCTTTTTTTCTCAAGGCAGGAATATAGGCTAGTAGTTGTACGAGGCTAATACAGAAAACACACAAAGCTTACAGCTTTCGGGCGAAGTATTAGCTAGGTCACGTTAATAGGTCACGTAATAACTATTTAATATATAATAAATCATACAGGAACTCACAACGTCACGTTATTTTGCGATCTTATTATTTTATTTTATTCCATATCAAAATCATCTAGCTCACGTCACACTATCATCTATTAATACTTTAAAAGCTGACACTAAACATGGTGTTAACATCTAGTAAGACGGTCAAATGTGATAAATGCTCAGTACGAATTCCCAAATCTCGACAGATTCTAATATGCGACATGTGTAGGCAAGTTAAGCATTACAAGTGTAGCTACCTTAGCAAAAATGACGTTGAAAACATAATAAAAACTCCAGGATATAGAATATAGATGGTCTTGTTTTGAGTGTATATCGGGAGTGCTCCCTATTGGCAATGATGTATCTAGTAATACTTCAGGTTCCAGGAACTCATCATCTCACACAAAATACAAAGTTAGGTGCCATGCCTGTAGTAGCATGTCGTATAAGGCGAATAATCTCAACGAATGTCCCTGGTGCAACAATTTGTGCCATAAAAAGTGTATTAATGGCAGCCTCGGTTGTATTCAATGCTGCGCTAAAATGATCCCCGGCTTTGGATTTTATGCTTACGAACTACTGAACGTTACTACTGTTAATTTACAGTCCAAAATTTTCAACCCATACGACCGTAACAAACTGATACCTTACAAGACTTTTTTGTGGCGGACCAATTTGCGACGACCGAAATTTTGGCGGTCCGAAAACATGGCGAAATTGAACAAAAACCGTCACAAATTTCGGACGTCACAGAAAATAAGGGTATTTTTCATCATTTTGTTTTCTGACACAAAGGAAATTCAAAATTTTCTAAAAATCGGTAAAATCATGTTGAAACAAAATGAAACTTATAAATCGATTTCTTCATCTTCCTCTAAGGGGTCCGGCTCGACTCTTTCAGTTTCACGCTGTTCTCCAGTGTACTCCCAGGAGTAAGATTCTCGGATAAGCTGCTTCATCTTGTACACGATGTCTCCGAGGCCTTTGAAAGTAAGTTTCAAATTCAACTTGACTTCCAATCCACCGGAGGGTATAGGGGAACGACGGTGTCTGCTATCCTCAACAACTCCATTAATTTCCCCACCGTGACAATTGAAATAGTGACAATGTTTACTAACTTCTAACGGAATATGTCCGACGGTTACCAACTGTGGAACAAGCAAACCTCTTCTGTCCTTTATCCGCTTCACGGCACACGTATACCTCACTCTTGAAACTATCGCCTTCAGGAAGGGGACTATCAAAAATCATACAACTATCAACAAACAATTCATGGCAGATCTCATTATCCCACCTAGAGCAACGAGAGACCTAACAATACCTACCATGATGCTGGGACGGCACTTCACCGTCACAACTCCTGGAGCAGATAACACGGACTATAGAAACTCACTTCAAAACACCATCGGCTGGCTATATCATCACAACTGACAATAATAACACGATCCTTGAAGAAAGATCATTCTAGCTCCCTGATTATTGCACTGTTTACCAAACAGAGCTCACCGCTATCATTGAAGCTTGCAAATATCTATCTACATATACCAAGGTAATCGTACTGTAGTGCGACACGTACTCTAGTGCGACACGTACTCTAGTGCGAAGTCCGACAAAAACACCCTCTGTCGCACTAGGGTACGTGTCGCACTACGATCCAGGTAGCGTACTCTACTGCGACAAAATATCCTGACATATTTCCAAGTTCAGGTCACATCCAATCCTTCTTATGGACCATTAATGATTACACAGGATTACACAGGATTACACAGGATTAAAATTAAATTATAGATCCATTATCATGGACTGTCATAATTGTTTACAGAAATTAATGAAAACAATCACCTTTGCTTGAAGTCAGGGCCAGGGTTATCCTTAAATCTTAATTATGACTAATTCGCGAGGTTCTCACCAAATTGATAGTAAAATTGTTTAAGTTTCGTGCATTTGAATTACGCTGACGCATATCTTCGGTGAAGCTATTTCGCTCTTCGGAGCAGCGAAGGAAATAAGTGCACACACAGTTGACAGCATAGGAGCGCCTTTCTTGAAATTGAATATACTGTGGGGTGTTTGGTTGAATATCAAGTGAGCGGTGGCAGTGAATATGGAGGCTCTGGTGATTTTGAGGAATTACAGTTGAGTAAGGAGACAAAATTTCGGCTGCCAGACTTTGGGGTCGGAGTGATATGATCCACCATATACGTCATCAAGTAATTAACATGCAAGCAGAACATTTTTTTTTAGAACATTTGAATATAATTTGAAACATTACAGAAATGTTGTACAAATCGCTCAAACACACACACTAGGTCTTAATTCGGTTAAGTTCCAATCGAAAATTAAATGATTCTCAAAATGTAGGTGTCTAATGAAAATGTGATACTGTGTGACAAAGTTAAGAATGTCTTAGTGAAAGAGAGTTAACTGTCGATGAATTCATGTGAGGTACTATCGAAGTTCAAAATGTTGTGATGGGTGACATGATAATGACTGATAAGAAAAAGTTTTCATGTCAACTGTGCCATAATCCAGAACAGTGTGATGACTGTCAAAGTGTCGACCACTAGGTACTTGGACGAACAAGTGTACCCGAGGTGTTCTGAGATGGCATGCTCGGGAACACGAACGCGCGCTAGTCGCTAGGGCAAAAAAAGAAATGCACAGTAAGCAAGTTAAAAAAAAGGAAAATTAAAATGCCGCTTGGGCCAAATGCAGTGAGCCAGTAAGGTGCGGTCGTAGGAGCAAGTGGCTCTGAAGACTAAAACTGATGAGACTGATGAGGCTGATACTGAAAATGAAGACTGAAAGGGGGGAAGCAAAGGAGAAGGAAAGGATGCAGGGGGACAAGAAAAAAGAAACAAGAGTGGAGACAAACCACCTGCTGAGGTCTGGCTAAAATCAGAATGCAGTGAGCGGCCCGTGTAACAAAATCGTCCGTGGCAGTCTACCCCGTACGCAGACTACGGTCCAAGATTTCAGGCGCCAGAATACACCTTTTGGTGCAGAGCTGGTCACGACCAGGGTCCTCTCGGATACCCCGTCTCGGAGGTCGGGCCAATGGAGCGATCCATTGCTGTACTAACAACCATTGTAACCCTATCACTCTGAAGGCCCCACAGTTCCTACATGGACGCACGGCCGGAAGCCCATGTAGGGACGGAAAGTCCCAAGAGTCGCTCATAGCATCCGTCACAGATCCAAAGCAGAAGGAGAAGGAAAGAAAGAACGAGAAAAGCAGAAGAGAGCTGGCTGAAGGACTACTTTCCATCTTCATCACGAAGGCTGTCTTTGTGCTTGAGGTTCAGACTGTACATTTCTCTGATGGTTGAGCATGAAAGTCTAATCAAGTTCACATCCTGCTCGTTAAGGTTACCGTAAAGATCTTCGGTACGAGAGAGAGTGTTGACAATGTTGTTCAGTCCGTTGTCATTGCTGTTTCCCAAGCTTTCACTAGCTCTGGTAAACTTGTCTCTGATAGCCTTCCCTTGTGGGCAGGAAGTGAGAAAGTGTGTTTCTGTATCCAAGCTTGTTGGTAAACTGCGTTGGCCGGATACTGTTGTTGGGTAGATATTTTCCGTCCCAGGTCAGGGATTGCTCGCGATAATCAGAGTCCGTAATAGAGCTGAAGAATAGGAGCCTATAGGATGGCTTGACAGCGTTTATTTGTAAGTCAAAACCCACTTCTGACCGTACTTGATAACGTTTCAGAGTATCGCTTGACAGGAAAATAGCCGCTCCGTGATCAGGTGATAGCCGTCCTACATCTACTTTTCCTAGATATGATCCAGTGTCGGTCCTTGGAATTATGTCGATTACATTCTGATGTCCAAGGCAGAGAATTGCAAGCGGAGAGTCTTCTTCGATGTAAGAATCGAGATCGGATGGGAATACCGATGTTTCTGGGATCTTGGAATTCATCTGAATTCTCTCGATGACGCAACTGTTGAGAAGATTTCCATTAATCAGGTTATTCTGTAGGATCTGGTTCATGCATTGGAGTAAGATAGGGATTTCCTTGAAGTCCTTAGTATCGTAAGTGTCCCATGGTTGGAAGGGGTAAAATCTGGAGCTGAACAGGGCAAGCTCTCGTTGGTGAGGTCCATACTTCCGAAATGGGACGTTACTTTCCGTTGACCACTGAAGAATGTCCGCTGGTTCCTTCATAAACAGGGCTTTCTGGTAATATATGTCCCTTCTTGGTTCATCTGCGTTACTCTTTAGGTCAGTTGAGATGTAACCCGGAGATGACGACAGATTCCTTATTCGCATGCAGGGATCGAGATGGTTTGTGATTATTGGAAGCGAGTTCAGCTTTTTCACGATTGTGACCTCTTCACAAAAAC